TTTCCCTGGGTTTTTAGACCTGCCCCTGCAGTTTGCAGAAGCAGCTGTATCAATACTAATTTATTGAAAAATTGTTCTGCAAGGAGCTAGCTCAGGTGTTTTTATGTCCATGACACAGCTCATTTGTAACTGGATGAGCTGCCATGAATAACTGAGGAGATGGCTCTATATGAGCTGATACTGTTTGCTCATTCCTGTGGGAAATAAGTTTATCTTTCTGGCATATGTCATTTGGAGGAGTCCATAGAAAAAGGCCATAAAATAGATGATTTTCCAATAGAAAAGCACTTCCTCTTCTGAGATTTTTTTTAACCTCAGGGCAGAAGAAACTGGGAATGCTGACAATGCTCTGAGCATTGAATGAAGGTGAAGAAGAAGAATATAACCAAAATATTTGTTGTGAAGAATGAAGGGGTTGTGGATTTTTGTTTTGTTGTTGTTTTCTTTTGTGGTTGGTTTTGTTTTGTTTTTAAAGAATGCTCCATATTAGCTTATTAAATCAGTTTTAGAAAAGCCAAATGTCTAAACGCAGTGGTATAACAGCTTGGGATTGCTTAAGAACAGCTGTTCCCAAAACAGTGCTTTCTGTAGAAGTCGTTCTCTTCTGTGGTGTCAGAACTGCTACAGTTCTGGTAGAAAATTGAACTTACTGTAACACTGTAGGTAGTAAGTGAATTTGGAGGACAAAGTGACAAAGAAGTTGACCTGCATTTTGGAACTTATTTTTTAAATGCATGTTAGTGTAAGTGTCATGATAGTCCTGCCAGAATCACGTTACCATCCTGTTTGGATTATCTGATCTGCGATGCTTGTGCCAAGACTGCAGGAGACAGAGAAAAGTGTAATGCCATAAGGCCTGTAGGGAACCAGCTGTTGTGACATCTTCGGGCATGGACAAATACACTCATTTTTGTGTTGATCCTGGAACATGCTTCAAGTGAGTTGGTGACTTATAGTCACCGAGTATCTGAAGTCTGATATGTTTTATGCTTTTATTCGAGTGAAGGGAGGGAACAGAGAATTTGTATGCATCAGAGACAGGATTACAGAGGCAGATTTCAGGCTTTCAGGCTCTTTCCTTTACAGGTTCAGTCCTTATGAATTTGGTGAAGGCTCTCTTGAGAAACAGGAGTCTTAAACAAAGAAACAGGCAAACACTTCATTCGATTCACAAGTGTCTTCTGTTGTTTCACAGCGTCAGTGCCCGGTACCTGATGTCTCTCTACTTCAAACTCAACATGTAGTAAAGCAGCTGTGGATAGTCTGTGTTACTGACAGTCATGCCAGCAGTGGTTGTAGCCTTTCATGTCACACAGCTCATCTTGGAGGTCTCTCTACTTCAAACTCAACATGTAGTAAAGCAGCTGTGGATAGTCTGTGTTACTGACAGTCATGCCAGTGAGTGGTTGTAGCCTTTCATGTCACACAGCTCGTCTTGGAGGAAGGGCCATAAAATTCACGTCTTGTAGGAATGACAAAAACTCTTGCTTTCGTGGCGGTAGCAGTGCTGGTTGTGCAGTACTGTTTCTTACTGAACATATGCAAATACTTGCATCAATTGCTTGCTTTCAGCAACATCCTTAGCCTACCTTAGTGGTTTACGTTAGTGACGTACAAATACCAGTATAGACTTAACTGTTGTACAGCAAAACATGACTTTAATATCTTTAACTATGGCCGTGCTGCTTCCATTAATTGGTGTAAGCTGCAGATAGAAAAGCAAAGATCTTCTGAAATTTCTTCACCCAACGGGGGTGGGCACAAGGCAGCATAAAATGTCACACCAGCTGTAAGCTGTAACGTAATTCAGATATTCTTGCATTCTGCCAAGTAGATTGGTCCTAAATACTTACAGCTTCTTATGGCCTACTGGTCTTTTTACATGACTACAGTAAATGCCTGCCTATAAGAGAGAATAGCTGAGGAAGAGCTTCGAAAGGATTTTGTTGTGTACATACCATGTTTGCTGCAACGAAAACTTCAGTTCTTACCAGTACAGTAAAGATTCTTGTAAGGTAATGTTAAAGAAGAAGTCAAATTATAAAGCTTAGAAGGGAGTGGGAGATCTGAGCCTAAAAACTTGAGAACGGGAATCAGTGCAGGTTTCGTAGATGTACTGTTTACTTTTAAATCAGGTGTAACTGTTTGTTGGTTAACCTTCATTGGTGTAATGCTCTTTTGATTTCAAGGCTCATCAGCAGAGCAGAAAAGCAGACCATTTGTTGGCAGCGGGGAAATATGAAGAAGCAATTTCTTGTCACAAAAAAGCTGCTGGTGAGTAGGTATTTCTCACATTCCAGCTCTTAAAATCACTTTCTAGATCTGCATGCTTAATGTAAGTGGAGTATCTAGTTACTTGCAATTTTTTTATTCTTAAAATGTGAATTTGTTTTTCAGTCCAGATCAAGCACTCTTTTAGAAACTTTTTTCTCCTATGAGCAGCTAAAGTCAGTCGTTTCCAAGTTGTTTTGATGGGGGGTGGTTCTCACTGTGGAGGCAGTTCTTGACTCGAGATGAAGCCAACACTTGGTGTCATGCACACACTGCAGTTGAGGACCTGCTGCAAGCCGGTTTCACTTTGCACTTTGTATTTCTTCACCGCTCTCATAGCTGAAGTCACCCGCTTTCTCTGTTGATAAAGGAGATGCTCAGATAAATATTTGCTTACAAAAGTTTACTTACTTTCCTGGTGTCTGAATCCAGACAGCTAAGAGCAGGTGCTGAGCTCAGCTTTCCCACATCTCCAGCAAAGCTGCAGGTTGCGTCGCAGCCTCGACGCTGTGACTGACAGCCTCTCCGGAGTGAGACTCTGCATTTACCTGTCCCTTTGACTGGTCACGCTTCGTTATTGGTGTTGGAGTCGGTCAGCTGTCTGACAGCGCGGCAACTGCTTGGCAGAAGAAGAAGGAGGAGGTCCTAATTGGTGCAACAAGTAGGACATTGCCAGTGACTGGCCTTGTGCGGAGACAAAATAAGTGGCAACTCCGAACATTGTAACCTAGATACCAGGCGTTCTCACTTTCCATTCATAAATACCAGAAAATCCCCCCAAAATGAGAAACTGATGGTTTCTTTGGTATTTATGAGTAATCAGAGCAACGAGGGATAGCACTTGCATCCTAATATGTGGACTTTTCTTTCTGCTTTCCTTTACTTCATATACCAAGATAAAACCCAGAAATGCATTGAAAGTGTCTTGCTTTTCTTTGTCTGATCATTCTATGCCATTATCTCACATCCTTCTGAATTTGGTTGAGAATTTCTTGTCACTTTCAGCGCTAGCAAGATCTGCTCAAAGTCTGAAGCGCTGCTCTGACTCTAAGCAAGCACTTTGCCTGGTTTGGAGGGAAAACTGATGAAAAAGGTGGGGAACTACAAGCTATAGCTCTTCATCAAGAATATAATTAAAAAGCATGACTTCATACTACTGGTGTGCCATGGGCAAGAGGATTTTGTTTACCATGTCTTGTCTTAAAATGCTTGTATATTAGAAGTCTGGCCCTTAGCTGTGTTTCTTCCCTTCATGGGAAAGTTGTTCTTCTGGGATCTTCTGGAAATGGCTGCTGTCCTCTGAAAAACAAATTGGAACAACCTGAGCCAACAGGATGCCGTGGTGGGGTGTAGCAGGTATTACATGACCTCACAGTAATTTTTTCAGGCTTTTGAAAAACAGCAGGTGTTTCCAGCCACTCTAACTTGTTAAATATTTTGCCTCTGGACTGCTGCTTTTATGTGGGGATTCAGACTATGGAAGGTCTGAAGCCTTTTCTTGGCTTTTATGGAAACGTTCAGGTTTTGTAACCCTGTCCTAAGTGCTTATCCATTTTCTCTTCTGCAGCATACCTTACAGACGCTATGAAGCTGACCCAGTCCGAGCAGGTGAGACCAAAGTGCAGCAGCTGCCAAAGCAGCCATAGCTCTGTTGTGTGCCTGTGTGTCATACTGTGCCCTGACTGATCATACCCCTGTTGGGCGTTAGCCTCTGCGTAGTTTACTGAACCCATGGCAACTGCACCAGGAGTTTTAGAAGTGCAGTGATATGGATAGTCTTTCTTGAGAGTTTTTCCAAGTTTACGTGGAGCAAGGACAAGAGAACAACTAACCCTCCATGGGTTCTCCAGCCATGTTTCCTAGTCCGCAAGGCATCTTCAAGTAGGTGATAAAACTAGTTTCATATTTAACTTTTGCTGTGAGGCACTTAGGCTGTTTTGGTGAGACACAAAGCCGAGCATCTCATCTAGAGTCTGTGATTTTGGTTTTAGTCATCCTGACTGAGGGATCTCCAGAACAATAGCCCTACACCTTTCCTTACTTATTGCACAAATCTATCTGTGAATGCAGTAGTGTAGTCTGCTCAGCAATTTCATAGCAGCAGGCTTTGAGTTTAGCCAATATTATCAAAGGAAATAACCCTTGGAGATCAGACACCTGTCTTTCCTCCAAAGGGTCATTCTTGTAGAAAAAAGGTAGCCTTTTACCCAGGTGGTTCCCATGAGTTATTAACTGCCACGCCAACCCCTTCATTAAATATGGCAGAATCATTTGGGACCGTATCTGGTCCTGGAGCACTTTTCTGCTTGGTGTTATTAATATGTCTACAGAGGTACCATCACAGAAGCACACAGATAGTTTGTGTTACTTAGCTAACGTGTGGCTGAGCATGCCAAGGGAGTCTCTTCCTTCTTGGTGTTGGTCATAGGTCAGTTAAAGTACTGCCTCTGCTCAGAGGTATTGTAGCCCTGTCAGTGACTTAAAACCAACAAAAAAACCCAAAAAAAACCAAAAACCCAAAAGAGCAAATGTAAACTCACTCCTTCACTGTTCCAGTAGTTGTGCTTTATATGCTATACCTGGGTCTGTTGCATTGTACAAGCAGAGAACACTTCTTGTTGGATTTAGTATCTGAATAACAAAGGCTTCTCCCCCTCCCTGGACTGTGCTGTGGTGCTGTTTATGTAAACATTTACATGTAAGTAACTTCATGTGCGTGAATATTCAGGTGGGATTAGGGATCACCAGTTAAATTGCTTAATCTTGTTCTTACTCAGGCTCAGCTGTCACTGGAATTACAAAGGGATAGTCACATGAAACAGTTACTGCTCATCCAGGAGAGGTGGAAAAGGGCAAAGAGGGAGGAAAAGCTGAAAGCCCAGCAGAATGCTGACAAGGAAATAGCTGCACATCTTCAGACTTCTTGTAAGCCATCTGCTGAAGACTCTGATGATCAAAATGTATTGGTTCCTGTTACTCAGAGATACAGCCCTTCCACAGAGAAACATGCACAGGATATTCAGGGTGTCTTTGACCGGGACCCGGATACACTATTATTTCTGCTTCAGAAAAAAAAGGAGCCGGTGGAAACATGTATTGGGAGTAAAGCTCCAAAGGATGACAAAACAATAATAGAAGAGCAGGCAACCAAAATTGCAGATTTGAAACGGCACATAGAATTTCTTGTAGCTGAAAATGAGCGATTAAGGAGAGAGAATAAGCAGTTAAAAGCAGAAAGAGCTAGACTCCAAAAATCTCCAGTAGACAAGGAGCTGGATGTAGATGCTGACTTTGTTGAGAAGTCAGAGTTGTGGGGTCTGCAGCAACACTCGGAAACTGCTTCTTCAGCTGCAACTTGGCAGAAGTTTGCAACAACTGCTGGGAAGGCAAAGGACATTCCAATACCCAACCTTCCCCCCCTGGACATCCCGTCCCCTGAACTTCCTCTGCTGGAACTCTCCGAAGATATACTGAAAGGGCTGATGAACAGTTAAAAAGCAGGAAGAGTGCTCCACGTAGTTACCCAAACTTAAGAAAAGGGAAAACCACCAGGACTACGGTGATCTGAGGGCAAAAACATCTAACACAATCCTACTGTTGGAGAAAAGGCATTAAAGCAACTTTGTTACTGTGAAATACACATCATATCTGATCTACTTCATAAACGTTCAAGGTACCAGAATCTGTGTAAGATGGAGAGCTCTTTAGTCTTTCTCCCAGTGTTTCAAACCAAATGACTGCCTGGAGAATGTTTCAAGTAACACAATCCTTCAGGGTTTTAAAGTATGCTATATGTAATAGTTATCTATAATGCCATAAATGATGGTGCAGAACCTAACTGTTACGGTTGCCGGTTGGCTGCCGCTTCATATTGAAAAATGCTTTCTAGCATGAATTTAAACTGTGCATTTCATTATGCATAACTCTGTTAATTCAGATACAGTGCAATTTATACACTTCCTAGATGGATTTATGTGCCACGCTTTTTTTCTCCTGGCCATGTTAAGCTCGAGTCAGGGGAGATTTTAATTTCCATTCTATGAAGGAGCCAAGTTATTAGTTCTGTTGACGAGTTTTTTTGGGTTATCTGTTTACATAACTAATCAGGGTGCATTGAATCTAGCTATTGGTTTCTGTATAAAGTGACATTGTTTAAAAAAGAAAAAATCTATACTTAAGGAAAAAAATACCCTTTTTGTTTTCAGTGATGCATGAATGGAAGTAATTCTAGCTGGCAGTATTTGATTGAAAAAGAAATTGTTTACAGCTTAACCTGATTCAAAAAGGATATGAAAATAAAAACCAAGGTGTTTTGACACCAAGTGTGTTAAATCTCTACAAGTGTTGCAGCGTATGAAAAAAACAAGATTTATACTAACAGCATCAGTACAGACGTACGGCTGAACTTTGGTGTTCGACATCCAGCAAATACGAGAAAGCTGGGATGAATTCAGAGGGCCTTCCCTGTCTGTGAGGTGACTTGGCCACAGCTGGTTTCTCACACCTGCAGAGCGCTGAAGTGGCAGAGGAAGCAGCTCGATGGTTTTGCTCGGGGACAAACTGCGCTGCAAGAGCTGTGCACACCCATGCAGGGGTTTGGTTTCTGAGGGGAGCGGTGCAACCCTCCTCACACTCAGCCCCTTGCAGCGGGAGCCAGCCCTCCCCCTGCCCCAGAGCCTTACCAGAACCCAGGCTTTCCGGAGGTGAGTGTTGCAATGTGTGGTGAAGGCATCAGTTAACTTTAGCTGTTACTGATTAATGAAAAGTGTTAGGTGTTGCCAGCTACCCCACTTTAAGTTATTCTTGTGCTATTACAAGGTAATCTGCTCTCTAAGGGTACATTTTTCTTCCAGAACAGACTGGGAAGGTGCAGCAAGAACATCCTACTGCTGTGCAAATTTTCCCCTTACCTCTGTATACCTGGTGTCTCTTGTGCTTGCTTGAAGGAGAGTAGGGACTGGAGGCTAGAAAAAGCCTATGGAAGCAAAGCTAAGACAAACTCATTAGATGAGGTCCCTTGTGCTGAATTGTAGCAGGAAACTAATCTTGCTGGGGAAAACAACCCCATGTTATTTTTCAGTTGGAGCAGTTTAGCATGTGACCTGCAGAGCAGCTGCGATGGAGTTACCTGTTCCAGGTCAGGCCCAGCACGCTGCTCTCACTAAAGGGCAAGGTCCATTCTCCACCGCCACCTGCCTGGCTGTTAAAGGTGAGGAGGCAGCGGAGCATGTGCCCCAAACACAACAGTGTTTCTATTCATGTGAGTACAGCAAAGCAAACGGTCTGTGCTCACAAGAAGGAAGTGAAATTATTTAAGCATCTATCTCATGTCACTGACAAGGATGATGGCCCAGCACTGATAGCTGCAGACAGACGTTTCAGCTGTCTCTGCAGACCGCAGCTATAGGAGAAGGAAGCAATTGTTTAGCCTGGCTACCTCTGCTGAAGAGTCAGGATTCCTCAGAGGGGAGCTAGGGGAATTGCGAGCTTTACCTTCTAAGAGTCAACTATCTCTTCAGATGTAGCTGCATAAACAAAACTCCAGATCCGAAGGAAGCCGCTACTCCGTAGGAACATGACCAAGCGGAGGCAGAACTCCACACTGCTACTTTTGAAAGTGTTGTTAAAACTTTTCTCTCTCCTGCAGTGTAAATGTTTGTTTGTTCTTGCAGTCTGCCTACTCACCACCATTGCTGCTGAACTCAAACTCTAGGCAGCATGGGCTTAGCACAGGAGGTTTCCATTCCCCTGGCTGATGCAGAAAGGAGAATGGGTGCAACGTTCCCTTCAGCAGGGTAGGAGCACTGAGCTGCAGTATCAGCACTCCTGGCATTACACGAGCCCCAGGAAGGTGATATGAAAAATCTGAGTATTTCCTATGTAATAAAGAGACCTTTCTAGAGCTGGAGCAGGCAACACCAGTAAAGAGTGCGCCCACAGCCTAGTGAACAGCAT